ACAAGACCTAGAGAGAACCACAGCAACATCCGGGGATGTGCAGTTACGTGGCGTGTGAATCACAACCCCGGACGCCAAGGGGTTGCACTGAACGGCACCACCTGACCGTATTTTCTATGACATCTGTGGACCGGTAAGGTCATATCCTCATTACATAAGGCCGTATTTATTCTTCCTCTATTCATCCTCATATTTTTAGGCTTATTATTTATTCTCAATCTCCACCCACTTGAATTTAAGCTTCATGAAAGGAGGGATTTTTATGTGATTTGTTGACAGATATATCCCAAATGCTGACAGACCGTGGCACACAGTGGGCTCGCAATAAATATTTGCTGAATGAATGAATTTAACCATTTCCACAATGGACAGATGGGGACATCTGTTCGGATGGATTTGCTGATGTGTTTGAAGGAAATTTCAGAATCAATATGGATGTACGTTGACGATATTTTTTCTTCTATTCTTTTTTTTTTTTTTTTTTTTTTTTTTTGAGACGGAGTCTTGCTCTGTCGCCCAGGCTGGGGTGCAGTGGCCGGATCTCAGCTCACTGCAAGCTCCACCTCCCGGGTTTACGCCATTCTCCTGCCTCAGCCTCCTGAGTAGCTGGGACTACAGGCGCCCGCCACCTCGCCCGGCTAGTTTTTTGTATTTTTTAGTAGAGATGGGGTTTCACCGTGTTAGCCAGGATGGTCTCGATCTCCTGACCTCGTGATCCACCCGTCTCGGCCTCCCAAAGTGCTGGGATTACAGGCTTGAGCCACCGCGCCCGGCCTCTTCTATTCTTGTATTTAATTTTCCCAGCCTAAAAGACACAGGGCTAAATCTCTTTGAAGGTCTTGGAAGGATAACATCTGGTTTTAAACTGATAGTTAACAGGGGCTTGTGAAAGACATTTAAAAAAAATTTTTTTAAAGAAAAGCTGGCAGCTCTGGAGGATAACTTTGTAAATTGGTTGAAAAAAAAATTAATGAAAGAAGAATTCAATTACCAACACCAAGTAACCTGTCTGAGTGAGTTTTTCTTTAATAAAGCAATTTTTGACTGGCTTGTTGACTCTTATTGGAGAAGCCAGACCAAATTAAATTCAAATTGCTTCTTCTTGGAAGCAAAACAAAACAAAATCTTCACTCCCTTCTGAGGCAAATTATCAGAGAAGATCCTAACCTCAAATCATGAAACAATGTATAAACAACTGCCTCCAAGGAAGCCAGATGCCACACAAATCTGACCTATGCACACAACTAGCTGGTGGAGACACCTGTGCGTTTTCAGGTAGAGGCCCTGTAAAAACACCTTGTTTATTTTTTTAAATGAAACTGAGTTAATATTAGCTAATAATTCCTGATTTTTTTCTACTGACTTTTCAGACCCCAGCATTTCACAGTAAAATACAGCCTCCTGCATATTGAAATAATCCCCTTGCATATTTAATACAACAGCCATTAACTGCAGTTCAATGATTGCAGTTCAGTGTATTGTAGGAATATCTAGGTTTAACCCGGGATTTCTCAGCACTTTGTGTTCTTCATGCGTCAAATTGCCTTGATGCCTAGATTCCTAAATCAAAGGGAACATAGTCCAATTTCAAATTGAAGTAAAAGAGGAATTGATGGTCTTGCCTTGTAGGCAAAACATAGCACAAAGCAACTAGTCTGATCCCACAAAATGGAACTGTTTGGAGAAAAATAAACTCAATATTTTAAACTCAAAGTCCCATTTCTGCCACATTTTGCTTTTCATTTCCTTTTAAAGGTTGTTCTTAAACTTTATTACCCTGCCACCCTTCTCCCTGACCTGTCTCCATTTCCCTGTCATTCCTGTGTGCCGGCGGCAGTGATTGGGATATCTGCAGCTTTGTCCCTCAGCACACTGTGGGCCCAAGGGAGGCAGACACCTGCTGTTAGCAGGCTGGCGTGGTCCTCTGCTCTTATCATTCAAGAACTGAGCCTTCACAGCCTCCTGACCAGTCTCTGGACACACCTGTGCATCCCAGCTTGTCAGGCAGGGGTATGTTTTATTCATCACTAGATTCAAAGTCCATTGTCTGCCTGAAAGGAATATATGGTGCAAAGACTTGGAAACAGGAAATTTCACTCAGAAATCAAATTGTTGATCGCCACTTCACCAAATGGCTCAGTCAGCAGATTTACTTGTTAACTCAGTCAGCAGATTTGCTTGGGAACTCTTGAGTTTCAGTTAATCAGTTTTTGTTTTGTCTTCACAGCATCAGTGTAGAGACATTGAGCTGTCCCAGCTCCTGTTGCAGCTGGAAACTGAAGGGTGGAGAGAGACAGAGACTGAGAGAGTTTAGCAAGAATGTATTTTTGAAGAAAGATACCCATAGGGAAGAATATATAAGAATTCTGAATATTTAAGAATCAATTAACAATTATATTCTTCATGAATATATTTATAAGAATGTTTTTAAGAGGAATATTTATAAGAGAAAATATTCACAAAGAATATATTCTCAAATATTAAGAATATATTCATAGAAACACTTCATAGTCACAAACACATTCTTCAGCCTTAGGAATTGCAGAGACAAACTGAATATTCCTTAAAATGAAGCAAAGTTCAACATTCCAAAAGAAATAAGTAAATGTGGCAAGTCAGTCATGTGTTGGGTGGTTAAGACTGACTTCTACATCAAGCCAAGGTGTAGAACTCAGGGTTCAACCCTGGGCCTCACTCCAAACCCCAGCACTTTCCACGATCCTTCACTGCCTCCAACTCTTACTCAAAAGATGGAGATTCTTTGGACAAAGGTGACTTGTCCAAGAAATCCCAGGCGTATCTGAAAGTCAGTGCTCAGCAAAAGAAAGCTGTCATGACTTGGAATCCTGTGTTAACAAGGAGTCAATCTCTTTTGCTGTCACTCTTAGAAATGCTTTGGTACATGGGTTCTACAAGGTCAGGAATTCTAATCACAGGGGAGAAGTGGTGTTCAAAGATTGTGAATGGTAGCTTTTTAAAAAATATCCTAGGGCTGTTGGAAGTGAGAGAAATTTGTTTTTTCTTTTTGCAAGAGTTGTCTAAAATTACAGGCTTTCAAAGACTCTAGTCTCAGAAGTCCTAAGCTCCCTTAGGATTCGTGCTAATGATCTAATTTCCAGCATCATGGTGTGTACTTATGATTGTGATGTACAAATGGTCCTTGGGGGGAACTCTTTCTAATAACCTGGAAGTTTGTATTTCTTGAAGCCCTGTTGATAATTTTTTCCTTTGTCCCTGACTCGATTCACATTCCAGGGGGATCAGGAAAAGAGGAGCAGAGTCAGAGGCTAAGGCTGTGCCCAAGAGCAGCAAGGTCGTCAAAGCCACCTGTGCCATTTCCAGGTGCTGCTTGGCCCCTGACAGTGGTGGGGGTCCTCCTGGCAGAGTGAACAATCTCAACTCTTATGTTGCAAACCTTCCTGCAGAGCGTCAGGAGAGGGGGAAGGGAGCTGGGTGGAGGAAGCTGGATGTAGGTGGTCCAAGGCAGTTGGGGCCCCTTGACGGCACCCCAGGGGCTCCTCCAAACATGAGTCACACCTAGAAGAGTGGGCCCTGCGGGGTCCTTGAAGGCTGTGTCAGGCTTGATGCAAACTTGAGGGGTTTGTTCCAGGAGATTCCTGGAGGTTTGGTCTTCTGTCGACTTAAAGGAATGGATTGTTGTTCCTGTTGTTTTCCTCACGCCTATTTAATGGCTGCTGTCAGGTGTCAGCGCCTTATATGTGCTGTTTACGCTCACATCCATGCAGACATCCCCAAAATAAAATTTTTAAAAGCCCTGGAGAAGGTATTTTCTTATTTGTAGAGACGTTACACCGATTTAGGAGGCTGCAGAGCTGGGATTTGCATTGAGTTGGGTAGGCTCACTTTGTTCATTGATACAACAAATCACTTACTGTGTGCCAAGTAAGTGCTAGATCCTATGCTAGGTGCTTAGAATAAATGAACACTATTTATTTATAATAAATAAATAAATAAATGGGCATGCCAGACCCAGTCTTTGTCCCCGCAGATCTTCTAGGCTAGGGATGAGGGACAAGTAATAACAATAGTGAACAGCAATGCAACAGGGAGGCGCAGCCTGCTGTGGGGCTCTTAAGTGAGTCAGGAACCCAAGAGTGACGGAGTCCAGAAAGACTACTGAGAAGTGGGAAGAGGAGGGGTGAGATGGCCTCAGGCAGAGGACCCACGAACACAAAGTGGAGCCTGGGAGCAGGATGAGTTTGGAGAAATAAAGAAGCTCAGTGCAAATCCAGCCTGGATGTGAACAGGAACAGAAGATGCCCAAAAGGTGGGCACTGGTTGGGTTGTGGTGTCTGTAGTGTGCCAGGGCCTGCCTGGGCCAGCCCTCCGGTGCTGACTGCACATCTCCTTCTAACTTCAGTGATTTTGTGTTGGTATAAGATGAATTCTACCACAGAAAGGACAAAAAAGGCAGGTGATTTGAGTTTCCAGGCTGGCTTGAGCAACTGCTCTGACGATGGCGTCATTCACTTGGTGAGGAGTATTAGAATGGAGGGATCAAAGCTCCCTGTTGACCTCAAGGTTGAGGTGCTTGAGTGACAATGTGGGGGTGTCTGGCAGGCAGCTAGATACCTGGATCAATCCCTTTCTGTCTGATCACACTGTCCCCTAGCAGCACAATAGTTCAACTCCATTTGACTTGGTGCTATCCAACCTGTCCGAGGCCCTTCTGTTGAAATGACATGTGTTAGATATACGAACAACAAATCTCAGGTCTTCCATGGAACCTATACAATAAGCAATTTTGAGGTTCTTATTCATTTTAAAAACTCCCATTTAATCTCTCAAATTATTAACATCTAAACCTGCTTTCCTTGGGAAATATATCCCAAGAAAGATAGCACTCAAAAATGGCTGACTTCCTTGCTACCTAATGTGGGCAGAGTTACCTCTGTTCTTCCATGGCTAACAAAAAAACAGACTCCATGCTGTGGCATGGGCACAGGTCATAACAACATATGCATTAAGGTAGTGATGTATAAATTTTGTTTTCTCTCTTTATTATCATTTAAAATATATTAAAATTTTAACATGGCAGAAGCAGGAATTTTAACTGCACATGGCAGTCTACAAAAAGCAAAACAACAAACAAAACTCCACAGAAACAAAATTTACATCAACCAATAATATATTAAAATTTCATTTAGGTAAGGATCTAAAGAAATGTTATATATGCACACATCTTAGAGTTTATTTTCTTCAGTGAAAAAAAAATGTAAAGCTTGAGAAATTCTCCAAGCAGAATCAACTTTCTTAAACCTTAACATTCTTAATGAAGCAAGTGGACATAGAACCTCTTTTTAGAATCTATTCCCTCTTTCTCTCCACCCACAGATGGTGGCTCTCCACTGCCGGGAGAGCATTTATAGCTGTTCCTACTTGTAAAAGTAGTAACAAGTGTCAGAAAAGAGGTACTTGTCTTTCAAAACTGTGGGACTGATTCCACACAATTTAAGCCTCGGATACAATCACTTACAAAACACAAATAAAGCCTGACAACAAATCGGAATGTTTCAAACAAAGAATAGGTACCACGCTCCCTACTTTAGAGATCTTCCCTTTGAACAGTGTGTCTCCGTTTGTAAAGATGCACACAGCCCCAGATGTAATATAACACAGCTCCTTGTTACAGGGGTTCTGGCAGACTGCGGTGGAAATCAGTCAGTCCTGAAATGCCCTTCAGAGTGGGAGCAGGGAGGAGTTCTGTGCAGGTGAGGGTCTGGCCCACCAGCCACACCAGTGTTAGGACAGGGTCCCTTGAGGCCCCACTGATGGTGGAGGGTCCTCAGAAGGGTCTCTCCAGCTTTTGGAAGTGCCCACCTCGCCGTCCTCTTGTTAATCCTGGTCACACTCCTTTGTGGAGGCTCTAGGAAACCTTGGGAGCACAACCAAGGAATGGATAATGGAACAAAAAGGAGAATTAATGAATCATGAAAACATGTGCTTATTATTATTATTTTTTAGAGATTCACACTTTCCTGAGTAAAGTACACAAAAATCTCACGTGAAGTCTTTTGAAAGCACCAGGCCTCTAGGTCTTAGACTAGCTGTGCTTCATGGCAGATCTGAGCCAAGCTCGACGTTGTTCTGGTAAAAACATTAACAATGTATTCATGAACATTGCTTTTCTAATATTTTACCACTTGAGAGTGTTATGCTTGTAAATGGAAAATGGTTTCTTTTCTGGTGACGGAGAAGAATAAAGGTGGATGTGTGGGCTTCTTTGGTCTGTCTTGCAAACACATTAGAGCTGAACAGATCCCACCAAAGATAACAATGTTCATAAACCAAACCCACAGATGGGCCTAAGCCTCTGAATCATTGGCACTGGACCAGTCATCAAAATCCTCTAAACATATAAACAAATCACAGACACTTTAAAAAGTCCAGATTCAATGTGGATATGGCCATTGGACATTCACATCAAATTAATGTGCTCCACTTTTATTGCTGAGAGAGCGCAGCTCCTGGTGCCAGAGGAAGTTCAGGGAGCGCAATCATCCCTTGACTTCTTGGCCTGAGACAGTATCTTCTTCAGGGAGGTCCTGGGAATTCCTGAACATCAGGATAGAGTTGTAAATTTTCAGTGCTGGGCCCAGTTTGATCTTCATCACTTTGACAATGTCTATCTGTGTCAGAAGCAGGAAGGCTTTGCCATCAATCTGCTGCAAATATATAAATAGACACAAACAAAATTGTTTTGTCACGGAAGCCTGTTTACTCACCAGTAACACTTAGGTTCTGAGTGTGACGCGGAACCCGTCATAGCCTCCGTGTTGAGCTCACCAGTGAGAGAGAATGACAGCAGCTCTCACTTGGCTTAGTTACAACCATTGCTCCACTTCAGTTCTTTCTTCTAGAAATTTGAAGTGACATTTAAAAGGAGCTCACTCTGTTAAATACGAACTCAATATACATGATCTTTTCCTAGGCTAAGTTTCTATTGCTGTGTTTTAAAAAGGTTGGCTTGAATTTATATCAAGACCCTTAAAACCAAGTCAATCCCCAGGAATTTTTCCCAAGAGAATAACGTGCAATGTGTATACTCTGGTATTATTTATGATACTGAAATCTTGAAAGCAACCCAGTGTTCCCAATAACAGCAGAAATAAATAATACTATAGTAAGAGTGGGCTACTATGCGGTCACCCCAAATCAAGTATCTATGAAACATTTAATGATTTAGGATTTTTTTTTATAGATCAGTAAACAACAGAACATGGTATATGATAGAGAAGAAATTCAGTTTTACTTTGTACAATTAAATATGCATGGCTGCATGTATACATATGCATATCTAAAATATTTGAAGTCTTTACACCAAATGTTAACAGAAATTATCTTTGGATGGTAGAATAGTGGTTAGTTTTTATTTAATCCTTTCAACTTTCCTGTATTTAAATTTTTAAAAGAATACATACCAGTATAAGCAAAAATACATACAAAATAAATGTTTTATTTATTAAACTTTGAAAATATATTTCAAAACTTGCACAGACTGATGTTTGGCTCAATATGAATAAGATCTGGGGCTCTGATGTATGGCATGGGTGGTAATGGAAAGAGTTAATTTGACTTTGGTAATCATCACACATTGTATATGTATATCAAATCATCACATTATATACCTTGAATATATTCAATCTTATTTTGACAATTAAATATTTTTAAATTAAAAAGATATTACAGCATGAACTGTAATAGCTTCCCTGAGACTCACAGGATGGCAGTGGCCACTGTGTAGGCTGCTTCCCCCAGCTCCTGGATGTCCCAGTGACCTCAGCACGACATCTGGGACTGCTGCAGCATCGCTGATTGACACAGCCTACCTCAGATGATTCCTAGCTCCAGAACCAAGAAGGCAGGAATGGGAGGGTTTTCTACGGAAACACTCTTCCACGAACTTAGCACTGTGGTTCTAAACCTTTTCAAATTTAATAATACAAACCCAAGCCAGTTGTGGTGGCTCATGTCTGTAATCCCAGCACTTTGGGAGCCCGAGGTGGGCAGATCAATTGAGGTCACAAGTTTGAGAGCAGTCTGGCCAACATGGTGAGACGCCCCTATCTCTACTGAAAATACAAAGATTAGCCAGGCGTGGTGGCATGTGCCTGTAGTCCCAGCTACTCAGGCAGGAGAATTGCTAGAACTCGGGAGGCAGAGGTTGCAGTGAGACACGATTGTCCCACTGCATTCCAGCCTGGGCAACAGATCAAGACTCCACCTCAGAAAAGAAGAAGGAGAAGGAGAAGGAGAAGGAGAAAGAAAGAAGAAAGAAGAGGAGGAGGAGGAGGAAGAGGACGAAGAAGAAGAAGAAGGAGGCGGAGGAGGAGGGGGGAAGGGGGAAGGGAAGGGGGAGGGGGATGAGGAGAAGAAGGAGAAGGAGAAGGAGAAGGAGGGGGAGGGGGAGGGAGGAGGGGAAGGGGAAGGGGAAGGGGGAAGGGAAGGGGGAGGGGGAGGAGGAGAAGAAGGAGAAGGAGAAGGAGAATCCTGTAGTGTCAATGTCTCACTGATAGAATTTCCCTGGGACCCGAGGGGTAGGGTTTTAAAGTTTTAACATTTAAAAAAGGTTTTAAAACCTTTCTGTGCATTTATGATATATTGTCTGATGAGGATTCATCCATCTAGAGGAGGAAGCACTTTTCCCCTTGGAAAAGGCATTTTCCCCAAGGCAGAGGAGAGAGAATGAGCCTACATCCATACCCTGACCTGGCTCAGGTCCAGCATTTTCAGGCAAAAATTGCTGTCCAAATATAAGGTCCTAAGAATAAGGTCATGATGGTGATGATAACAGCTAACAGTTATGGAGCTATAATAATCTATTATATGGGTTTGATCCTCCTGATAACCCCGTAATATAGGAGAGGAAACCTGGAATTGCAAGCTTAATGACTTGCCCAAGCTCACACAGCTTCTAAGGGGCAAAGTTGGGATTTCGGGCAGGGCTTGTTGGAGCCCAGAGGAGACCCTCTGCTGTATACTGCTGCCTTTATTAAGCCCCTACTTTGGGACAAGAACAGGGCTCGGTGCTTCAAACATGATCATCCTAATCTTTAAGGGCCCCTCTTGTAAATCTGTGTTTTAGAGAGGAGGGATAAGAGGGGTTCAGCAATCTGTCTAAAGTGACAGTTCTGGTCAGTGAGTGCCAAATATAAACAAGTCAGCCTGCAAAGAGCCACTCCCTCTTCCCCTATGTGGACAGACTTGAGGACAAGGCGGGCCTTGGGCATCACTACCTGCATAGTGGACTGTATGTGTGAGCGCGGCCAACTATGCCCAAGCCATGCTGAGCTCAGGCAGAGGCAGGCGAACCCCACATGCAGCAGCTACCCACACTGAGACCATCTGACCTTGATGCTGTGTTCCTCTATTGTGCTTGGAGGCACAAAACTCAGTGAGCACTTCCCTTAACCCATGCATGCTCTGAACCTGAGAGAGGGAGAGGTGTGTACTGCCTTTCAGTTTCTACGAGGGTGGTTTTCTTGGAGAGTTCTAGAGCAACAACGGAGGCTCTGAGCTCTCAGATGGATATGAGCTGGAATCCGACTCTGCCCTTTTCTTGCTCTGCCTAACCTTCCTGGGCCTGAGCTTCTTCATCGGTAAGCTGCCATTGTAGAGTTGTCACAAGGATCAAAGGACAATGGTTGTAAAATGCTTCGCACCATGCCTGGCACGTGGCAAGCCCCTGATACACCATCACTGGGATTAGTATGTGCATCATTCTGTGGCTGGCCCAGGCTCGTCCAGGGCTCCTGTAGCTACGGATACTAATTCCAGGAAATATGCGAAGCAGTTCAGTATGTTCCCAACCAAGACGGGGCAGAAGATAGAAACCCCCTAGAAGGATTTGGGGCTTCTCTGGAAGCAAATGCAGGGCAGGGATAGGTAGGAGGGTCCCATGCTGACTTTGGAGTAAACAAATCTCCTCCCTTTCCCAGGTGCAATCCCAAAGGAGGATTCCTGCCTTCCCCCAAATGGCTTCAAGCCACCAATGGAGAGGCCTCATGACACCGATAGGTAATAATTAATTATCTTGTTCATTTACTCTTCCAGCAGATAGTATATGTAATGAGCATGCTGTATGCACCAAGCACCATGGCATTCTGCAACAAAACCTAGCAAAATATAAGAGGACTGAAGGCAGAGACTGACCCCGCTTGGTCTCACACTGCAGAATTGGGCTCTATTCCTGCTGGATCTCCTTTCTCTTGCTGCCCCAAATTGTACTTATTTACACTTAAGTAAATGATAACAAAACACTTCTGGGTCTAGAAGTGTATATATATATATATATATACACACACACATATACACACACGCATTTCTTACCTCTTTCTTAAAGCACTTGGCATGTTCTTCACAGCCCAGAAGAGACTGTACAAACTCAGCCACCTATAGTGCAAGATGAAAAGCCTAATTTAATACATGCACCTGAAATAATTTTAGGGTTGTAGTAATCCAACATTTAAGTAAAATATACTTAAAGTCTCTCAAACACTTGGGAATTAAATAGTAACTATCAAATTGCATTAGCATTTGTCAACTGAGAAATTAGACCAGCCCCCAGTATTTTTTCTGTCCTCTTATTACCGGACTGACCTGCACAGGGTTATGGTTATAATGATGACAGTAACAGCCTCCATATGTGAAGCTCTGGCATTCTGCAAGCTTCTGTATCTGATTCTCCTGACTCCCCTGTGGGGTCAGTGAGGGCGAGGCCAGTGGACTTGTGCAGCAGTTATCACAGCAACAGACAGGAGTGAGGACCTGCCCACTTGCCTTTAAAAGACCCAAAGGCAAGGCCTTCTCCTACTCATCTCTGTGGCCCGGTTCCTTACCTGGAGCCTGGTGAACCACAGGCAATCAGAGAATCTATGCGGAGCTGAACTCCCACATAAATGAAGAAGCTGAAGCCCAAAGAGGTTCAGCACTTACCCAGGGCCATACACGGTTGGTAAGTAGCAGGGACATTTTGGAATTCAGGTTTGCTATTTCTAGGCCCTACGTTTTGGAGAATCAGTCTCTTCATTTCAACTTCCCACCCTCACCATGCCCCCACATGCCCCCAAATATCCTTTTAACAAGAGAAAGCTCAGACAAAGATCTGGCTATCGGCTCAGGAAGCCACTGAGTGTTCCTAATAGATACCTTTGGGAAGCTGATTGAACAAACATGATAAAGGGTAGACTCCCAACATCAGAAATGACAGCTGGGTGGTCTGCACTACTGCCTAACTCCAGTCCTGTCGCAGCAGGGGATGAAAGGCAGGCTGGAATGCAACAGTAAATGTCATCTCGGGAGGTGATACTTCTAGGGGAACTGTCTTGTTTGTTTTGTTTTGTTTGGCTCTCCGCTTCTTGTGTCAACCGAATTGTGGGTGCTGGCCCTTCTCCTCTCCCTGGTTTCATGGGGAAGGTTCTCGAGGCTGGATAGTGCAGTTTATCAACATGTCCCACCCTCAGAGAGCTCTGTGAGCACAGCCTCCCTCCCAGCCTCTCCAGGAGAAGTCGGCCGACGCTGCCCCTGATGGTGCAGGAGATAGCACCAGGTGTTTGCTGATCCCAGGTGACAGAGCAGTAAGGGCCAACTCCCACAGGGCGTACCCTAGGGCTGGACACCTGTGCCCCTCCTGAGCTCTGTCCCCTGTGGTCTCACAGCTATATATAGTCAGTGCAAATGTGAAGAGTTCAGAATATCTTCTTTTTAGGGGTGATCTGCACGTCCATGTCTGCTTTACTCACCCCTGGCGCTGCAAATACATTCTTGAGTCGTTTTACAATCTTCATATAAAGTTTGGAGTGATAAGGATTTAAAAAAAAAAAAAAAAGTTCCACACCAGCCATACTGCTGTCATGCAAGTTCCCCTCCAAGCCCCAGGAGCATCTGTGCTAGTGAGTGCCTCTGCTGGCCGGGCTCTCAGTATTATGAGCGAATTCACCCGAGAACCCGACACTGGCAATTCAGGTAGAGGAAGCCGAGTCTGTTTGCTGGGCTAATACAGTTTTCTTGTTCTAGGTGAGAAGGAAGCATGTAGAGCACATGCTCAGTACTTGCTGGGAGCTAATGAAAGCTGTGGAATGCCACTGGTCAAGCTGCAGAGACAGGGCAACTGGGGCAGGTGATGGCAGTGGCAGTGCTGTTGGTGGCCCAAGACATGGAGAGTGGCCTGGCTCCGTCATTCCCCAGACCACTCTGCTGGTCATATATACTCCAACCCTGCCTGTGTGTGAGGCCTCAGGCTGGCTGCTAGAAGAGCTGCCCTGGGAGCTTGTTGTGCTTGAATTTTCAATGAGTTGACTTGATTAGTGGTGGGAGGATTGAGGGGAACCGGGAGGACATGAAAGCGTATCACTCACTACAACATGTGGTCAAATGTGCTAACACCCTTGAGAAAGGTAGGAAGGCTATGGGTGTTAGGAAGGGACTCCACAAATCTTAGGTGGGACTTCAGAAAGGACATCAGGAAGAAGGGGGACCGTGAGAGGGTTACTGTTGGATGCACAGTATTTCCACTGTGGCGATTTGGGGTGGATGGGCGGGGGAAGAATTCTAGGCATAGAGAATCCCAGGAGCAAACCCCAAAGCAGGACAGCACAGGGCCAAAGGGCGGGTGTGAGGAGCTGGAGGAGTGCAGTTTGACTGAGCTGAGGAGTAGACAGGGAGTGGCGGGAAGTGGGGAGGGCCGCGTGGTTCCAGGTGTGGGTCTGTACTTCCTCCACAGCAGCGGGGAGCCCTAAGCCCTGGCACTCCACCCTGGCGGGACACTGGAGCTTTCACGCTGACTGTCGTCCAGGCCTCATGCCACACAGATGATAAATTAATGGAGCTGGATTGGGTCCAAGCACTGGGTAGATATTTTTAGAGCTTCCCAGTTGGTTCCAGTGTGCACTGAGGGCCGAGAACCACAGCGCTGCAGAAAGCTAGAGGAATGGTCCAGCAGGGTCTGGACGGACTTGTGCTGAGCCTCAGGGCTAGGCAGGGCAGGAATCAAAGGTGAACACAGGAGAATGCTGTAAAGCCACGTTCCTCAACCTCAATACTGACACCTCGGGCCAGGTAACTTTTTGCTGTGAGGGCTGGCCTGGGTGTTGTGGGATGTTTAATGGCATCCCTGCCCTTTACTCACAAGGTGCCAGTAGCAAAGCCCCCTTCCCAGTTGTAACAACCAAAAATATGCCCAGATATTGCCAAATGCCCCTGGGGGCAACATTGCCGCAGTTCTTCTGCTGGGCTCACTTTTTCACAGGAAGGAGGGCTGAGTGTCGCAGGAGGAAATAATAGAAAAGAGGGACCAGTAACTAGCTAAGGAACCATGTTTTGTCGGATGTCCATCACTCACTGCAGTGGGAAAGCCACGTCAGCACAGGGACAGTGGTTTCCCCCACTGCTAGGGGAAAGGAGTGGTTGGTTGGAAACATGGTCTCTTTTCCATACTTGTTCAAAGGACCGTTCACAGCAGAAGTGTTGCAAGTGGCTTTGACGGTTTGCCTATGTTTAACTGTCCTTTTCTGGGCAAACAAAAAAAAGACCACAGTCTTCCTTCTCAGTATCATTGGCCAAGAAATCATTGTCAATGTATGAAAGATAAATTGGATTTTCTTTAAAGGAAATAAATAACGTGTTAAACCAAAGCATCAACAGAGCAGACGCGGCCCTGCCCCGAGGTGGCCTCTGCCTGGCCTGCAAGCAGCACTTGCCGCCTCCACCTCATCCTCCACCCGGCCACCCTCCTCAGCTTCACACTCCTCTGAAAGGCTCTGCCATTTTGGAAAGAGATTCCCATTCGATTCAGTTTATCTTTTCTTTTTCCAAAATAAGGAACAAGTTCCATGAACTCTATTAAGCAGACTTCTCTGGCCAAGAATTTTAAAATATGCAAAGGCCTTGATTCAGTATTATTAGTTGGTAATTACTTCACCTACAAATAAATCGTATTTTGAGCTTTCATAGAAAGCTTTGCTACAGATTTTCTCAATGAAAGCGGTGAGTTTTAGCATAGAATAGAGTAACATCAAGAAGTTTCCCTCTCATTCTCCCATTAAAAGAGAGAGATATTTTTTCTTCACATTTGTGGAAAATGTGGACAGCTGTCCAGAGGCGCATAACCTCTGCGAAAGACGAAATGACCATCCACTTGCCCTGCACCCATAGAAGCCACAGCAGTGGGGTCACCTGGTTTTTCAAAGGGGATGATCACACTGTTGGAGCCCAGTGGGTGGCCTGGGCCTTGGCTTTGGCTCTGGGCAGCGCCTGGTGGTGTGGGGGGCTGCCACGCGGGTGTCTCCCCTTGGTCTTGACTCTGGGAAGTGCCCCCCACAGTGCTGTGACCACTGACACACCAGCACTTCCCACATTCTCAGGCACACAGTGTCCTACAGCTAAAATCCTTGCTTTGTTTTGGAAGGACACTGAGAAAGTTAATTCTAAGTATGAGACAGCAGTTTGGGGAAACTAGGAGGGATGACACTGCCCAGGCTTTGAGAGGAGCCCATCCCGCCAGCCGACCTCACTTCCCCCACGACCTACTTTCCCTGGCATCGTCGCTGGAGCCCAGCAGGCCTCGTGTTCTTCCGTGGGGCTGCTGCTGCTGCTTTAAATCTTTCCAAATGCCGGTGTTCTCTATCTCGCTGAGCCTGTAGATATGTGCCGGACTATACCGGCTAATCGTCCACTGGGGACCCTGTTGCCAGCCTGGGTCTTATTTTTTAACAGCAGAGTTTATTTGCCCTTTTTTTTTAAGGGCTCAATTGTATAAGGCTGCTCTGCTTAGTTAGCAGTACCCTGAATTTTTCAAAAGCACCCCTTCCTGTGTCAAGGCTGCTTTTAAAGTGACTGCCATCTTTTAAAGTTAATGAACATTTAGGGAGCACTTGGTTGAGGCTAGAGCAATTTATATGTGGTGCTTTAAGAAGTATTTTTTAATAAGAGAAATAAAAGTACCCATACGTGCACCAGGCTTACCTGAGTCATACCGGGGGTGGTAAATGAGCACACCACATATCATGCCCTGCCTGCCTCCGTGTGCCTAGACATATATACCTGGCAGAATCAGGAACAGACTACATAAAACCCACCTGCCTATTCATTCATGAACTCATTTACTCACTCGAACATTTGTCAAACCCTCTTCTGTGCAAGATGCTTTGCAATAAGATAGCAAAAGATTAAAAGATATAAAAATATATGAAACTATACTAGTCCCTACTCGTAAAAGCTTATGCTCTTGTACGGGATATTTTCATGATCCAGAATAAGACATATACTTTACATCTCCATAACTTATCACGTGCACACACCCACACACATCCCTCACCGAAGTTTAGCAAAGCAACAACCCTTATTACCTATGATGTGCTCTCATCTTGTCTGGTCTTTCGTTTTATAACCACTAAATTGACTTCCCAGCCTATCTGCGCTTTGAAAAGCACTGCTCTTGGAGAGACAGCCACAGTAACAAAGGAGTTAAGAGGCAGCTCACAGCTCTGTGGAGTGTTACAAAGGCCCCGCGCTGGCCTCTCTTCACAGGTGGCATTAGCAGAGCAGAGGTCTTCCTCCCGGGCCAGAAAGGCAGACAAAGAGGCTGTGCTTTCACCTCACCTTCTGCTGCAGACACCCGTGTTAACTCTTCCTGAGGGATGCCCAGTTCATTCCAACACACCCCGTCCCTGGTTGTGGAGGCTCCTCTCTGAAACGCCCAGTGCCGACAAAGCACAAAAGCAGCCCTGGGCCCCCACCAGTCCAGCTCAGCCCTGAACTGCCTTTCACATCATTGCTGCCCTGCTCATCACTTTTACTGTGCCTTCTCTAAGCAGCCCTACGCTCAGCTGTGGGTAGGTACTCACCGGGGGCCCCTAAGTGGCTCCCTTATTGTCGAAGACACAGCAATCACAAAGCCCCCATTTTCAACCCATCAGAGATGATTCCTGAGGACCTATGTTGGTACTGGGAAATGTGCTGTAGTGTGTGAGGACATGGAAAGAAATTTAGGATGTGGTCCTTGTCCTCAGGGCATCTAGTTGGGGAGACAGCAAGACTGAGTTATGCTCAACAGTAGGGAACCATGAAAAGAGTTTTCCGTGGAATGAGTCCCTGACGGAAGTCAGCGTTATGGAAGCAGCAGGGGCAGGAGCGTTGCATGCGAGGCACTTAGCCTTTCCCATGGCTGATATTTTAAATCTAGAAAAGTTCTAAGGCCTCTCCCAGCAGCAAGGGCTGAGATTCCACCTGCACCCACAACAGAGAACTAAGGACCAGGGCTCTCATCTTCCTAACAGCTTCTCTTTCTCTGGTCTTCCTTCTGAGAGCTTCCCTGTCCTAATGACACTTTCACCTAGACCAGCTACTTCCCTTGAATCACCTCCCAGTCTCGTCTGTTAAGTGCCATACTTGAAATCTGTCCAATCAGAGCTCCCTCCCATTTCCTAGTCACTGCTAATGTCCCTAACAGTGGTGTCTGTTCTTATTGCATAAAGGCATCCCTGAGAAGTTAATAAAATCTCTGGCCCTTATCCATTAAAAATACATATACTGTACACAATTTTTCCAAATTCTTTGAGGCACAACTCCACGAACCCAGCCTCAAAACCTGACCAGCTCTGACACCTGTCCTGCTGCACCATATGCTCTGGCTTCATCTTCCCCTGACACCTGGCGTCCAGGGACTCTCTGGAAGTCAGAGCCCCTTTGCAGCCCCTCCTCCCTCCTTCTAACTGGGGCCCTGCCGACCCATCCTCACCCTAACTCTGGACACTCACACCCTTGGGAAATGCCCCTTGGTACCCTCTGGCTGCAGCCTTTAAGGGCAACCATCTTGAGTTTATGTCCACTGGGACGTCTCTATATCCACCACTGTGATTCACAGGGACTGCTAATCGTGAGTCACAGGTCCAATAATGAAGTCACCATGTTATCCTCCTGCTCCCAAACTGGACTCTGTCCCCAAATTTCACTTCTAATAGCACACTCTTTCCCCATTCTTTCAGATGAACTCTTTGGGGCCTTTCAGCTCTCACATATTATTACCCCAATTAAGTACTAAACTGTTTAGCGCCGAGACTATAAACGGAATCGCATTTGGTGCATCTCGCTTTTTCTTCTTCTATGTCTAATCTACCTCCCTGTGCTACTGCCTGTGCCTTTGAAATGTCTATTGAATCTGGGTTCTTTGGTTGGCAGCGCCCCACCTAGGCCCTGATGGTTCCACTTCCTGGGTGTCTCCTTCTCCTCCGCCCTTCTCACCTTACTCTCTACAGATCTCTGCAATTCTCATCTTCCTGAAACACCATCTTCACAAAGTGACTTTCCGCACAAGAACCCAGAATGACTCTGTCCAGCAGACTGTGGGCTGTGCACACCCTCTGCCCCGCCCCTGAGGCCTTCCACAGCAGGCCCATCTCCCGCTCCTGGGTCCCTTTCCTCTGTGCCTGGGGCCACCGTGAGCATGGTGGGCAGGAGGTCAGCTCATGGCCTGGTTCTGACTGTGTGGCCTGATGCCAGTCACTTCATCTCTGGGTATCTCAACTTCCCCATGAATAAAACGGGCAAGTGAGTATCTGCCTTCCTGTCATTATATTCACATAGCTGGTTTAGCATGATTAATGACCGCACAGGGCGTGGTGCGTGTCTGCCATCACTAAGTCTGTGAAACTCACTTCCATGCAACCTCCTCTGTTTCCCCGTCAACTGAAATGGCTTCCCTTCTTTTTTCTGATTAGATACATTCCACTTTTGTTCAAAATTTAGGCCACCATTGATTTCCTTGTCATTCAACATTCATTCAACAAACATTTACTGGGTGTCTACTAATTTCCGGGTGTAGTGAGGGGTTCTCAAGATGTCATGCCTAGTGAGTGCGGGGTCAGGCCAGAGTGTGGATGTCCTGCCAAAGGTGACCTCTGGCTCAGACCGAGGATCCACAGGAGGCGGAAGAGAGCATGGAGCCCCAGACTGCTGCTGGCAGTGGTCTGAGTGGGAGAAGGCAGGACGTGTGAGTATGAGAACAGGCTGGGGCAGCAGGACTCCCTGGGGCAGGAGGGGAGGGCAAGAATGGCAGGGCAGGCAAGGGCGGAAGGGAGGACTTCACAGAGGGTGAAGGGTGCCAGGGGGAGCCAGGGATTGTTGTAAGCTGGGCAGAGACATGCCCAGAATTCTGCCTTCTCCACCACATTCCTCACGATCAGAACTCTGTCACTCTGCACACGCAGGTGGGAGTGGAACTGAGGCTGGGATCTGGCGCTGCTCTCCCCAGGGCATCCTTCTGTGCTGGGCAGCGACAATGCCAGGGGCCACGAGCCCAGCAACAAAGAGGGCAGAGGAGACACTCTCAGTCTTACTTTAAAAAGGTGGCACTTCAAATGAATGGCTCCAATTCTGGGTGGGCGTTGGCCCGCCTGTTCCTTGGCCCAAGGCTGGGAAGGCCGGCTTAAACCAAGATTAAGTTGACTGCAGTGAGTGCTCCAGGAACATTGTGTGTCTAATTTAACTGCAGCTGTAGCTCTAATCTTGCCCTCAGAGTGACCCAGGATTTTCCTTCTTTTAAAAAACAATTTAAGGCCTGACTAGTGAAAACAGTATCCTTATCAAAAGGAATTACAGGTAAGAGGTACATTCCTTAAATAATACCACCTTAAATATGAAGCGTTTCTACAGCATTATTGTAAAGCAATGGGGCTTAACTGATCCTTATTAATAACCATTACTGAAGCCAGGCAAGGTGGCTCCTGCACATAACCCCAGTGCTTTGGGAGGCTGAGGTGGGAGAATTGTTTGAGGCCAGGAGTTCAAGACTAGCATGGGCAACATAGTGAGACCCCCGTATCCACAAAACAAAACAAAAAAATAGCTAGGTGTGGTGGCACATGCTTATAGACCCAGCTACTCAGAAGGCTGAGGTGGGAGGATCACTTGAGTCCAGGAGTTCAAGGCTGCAGTGAGCTATGATCATGCCACTACACTCCAGCCTGGGTAACAGAGCAAGACCCTGTCTCTAAATAAAATAAGATAAAATGTAAAATAATCAATATTGTAAGGAATGTTTATATTGAAATCTGATCCAACTTGTGCCCTCTGTGCAGCTTCTCATATAACGTTGTGACCAAATATACTTTATAAATGAACCAAAGGTGGGCCTGCTCATCTTGTAGCTTTAGAGGAGCAAACCTGCAGCAGGGCCCTTCTCTGCCATGAGTGTGCCTGGATCCCACGAGACCACAGGGCAACTGGCAAATAGATCCTTGAGGTGCAGGATGTCCTGGGCTGGGCACCTCTCCCAGAGCACACGTGGCTGGGATGCAAGCCTCAGATGCTTGCACATTTGTGCTTCCCCAAATTAAATCTGTGATGTGGAATTGGAGGCTTAAGCCTCTCTGCTTGAATTAGCCCCAGCTGATGGCTCTGGGGCTCGGGGGGCACTGGAATAAGGCTGCAGAGGGGAGGTACAAAACCATCCGGGCAAGTGGCGGGCTTTCCTCATCTCCTCAAAACCATGCCTGGCTTCTCCCTCTAATTTGGGTTTTAAAGTGTATATGGCGGATGCAATGCCTAAGAGAAAAAGGGCGCTGTCCCAGACATTAGAGAATGGTCAGTGGGCACCTTCTGCCTATTTCTTAGCAGCAGGCACACCCCAGCCCTGGACTCCAGCAGCTCCACTCACCTCATCCACAGTCCATCGTGCCACTTGGCTGGCCCGGATGTCAGCCACGCCTGGAAGCAGCTTGCAGTGTTGCTCCCTGCCAAGGGGAAGGTCCCGAAAAGGGTGGGCTGACACCGTGGACATGAACACTGACTGGTGAAGTGCCTGCTGCGCCTGGTCCGCTGAGTATTCTGCAAGAGAGGTGGGGTGGGGCGAGGCTCTGGTTCCCAGAGAGCAAGCACTGCTGCGTCAGCCCCACAGTCCAGAGGGCCCAAGTCAGGGCAGGGAAAGTGCCGACACCACCAGAACCCGTGTCTTCTGATCGTACAGCATCACCCCCACGCATACCCTATGCCTCCAGTCTGTTTTTGAGCAGTGGTCATAGAAGACATATGTTACCCATGCCTAGAAGACTGCGGCTGTGTTTCAGCCACATTCAAATAATCTCTGTGAGACGCTGTTTGATGGTCACTTGTCACTGCCACTGGCTTCTCTCTCCTTAAATTAGGAGTCAGAGGAATCAAAGAACCATGCAGAATTTGACTACTAAGCAGACTGGCACACTGAACCATCTGGGATGTGTATGCGCACAAAGAATAATTTCTTCCTGGAAGCAGCCTCATGAGTCTCTAAAGACAGAGTGAGCCTCAGTCCACATCTGGCTTTATAAATCCCCTGAGAGATACTGAACATGACATGTAGCAAGGGTCCCCATGAGAAGCTGGGTGATACCAGCTGCTGCTGCTGCAGATCCCCAGCAGTGCACCATGACCTCACCTGGGGTGACATCCTGTGGCAGCCAGGGGCTTTGGAAAGCAGCGGAAGCTGAGACATGACCTCCCTAACACAGGCACTCTTAGATGCGGTGCTCTTTTCTGAGCAGCTCTGCATGTACCATGGTTTTAAGGTACAAAGGACAATGGCTGTTTGGTTGCACAAGATTGGCTGCTGCAACCAAGGAGTGAGACTTTAACGGGATCTCCGTGCATTTCAGCCCTGTGCTTATAAACAGCCTTCTGTGCTGGTTTCCTGTCTTCAAGAGTGACTGTACTCTTTTTTTGTTAATTATTTTTTTTATTTTTTAAATTTATTTATTATTATTATTATACTTTAAGTTCTAGGGTACATGTGCATAACGTGTAGGTTTGTTACATATGTATACTTGTGCCATGTTGGTGTGCTGCCCCATCAACTCGTCAGCACCCATCAACTCGTCATTTACATCAGGTATAACTCCCAATACAATCCCTCCCCACTCCCCCCTCCCCATGATAGGCCCCGGTGTGTGATGTTCCCCTTCCCGAGTCCAGGTGATCTCATTGTTCAGTTCCCACCTATGAGTGAGAACATGCGGTGTTTGGTTTTCTGTTCTTGTGATAGTTTGCTAAGAATGATGGTTTCCAGCTGCATCCATGTCCCTACAAAGGACACAAACTCATCCTTTTTATGGCTGCATAGTATTCCATGGTGTATATGTGCCACATTTTCTTAATCCAGTCTGAAGAGTGACTGTACTCTTACATTACATCCCAACATTTAAGGAAAAGGCATGGGTCTCAATTCCCTAATTATTTAGCTTAAATCTACAAATGGATAAGGAGCAAAAATATTGTAGAGATTTCAGAGAAAACCAATGCCTTTATAATGACATCTTTTAAGACACTTTCAACACACATTAGCAAAATAAAACTGCTGATATTAGAAGAGACTTTGAAAAGATCGCAAAAGGAAATGTTTGAAGCCCTCCAGAAGTCTACCTCTTGTAATGCAAAGAGAAGGTTAAATAAGCAGTAGCCACATAATTTAGGGTCTATTATGATGGTTTTTGTTTTACTAACAGAATCTGAAAAACCATTATGCAAATATTTCCACCTCAAATTAATTACAGCTTTTAGTAGGTGAGGCTGACCTGCATGGTCACAGTCGCATATACTCATTAGTATTCAGAAAGGTTCTAAACTATGAGCGAGCTTGTCCATCACTGGGCTTCTCTGTGCAATACGACTCTCGTGGATCGGAACAGACATCCTCATATTTAACAGTGCTTGCTGTCTACACAGATAAAGAGGCAGCAAAATTACCAGGTTCTCCCCAATTCTTATGCTCCAGGTGCAAGCAGCAGCAAATTCATCTTGAACTGCTGATTGTCCAACACTGACCTTTTTAGCATGTAAATAGGTTACCTCTTCTGTGTAGTTCAGACAACAGTACGTAAGCCTGCAGGTTCTGAAAGGAAACCTCACATCTTCCTTGCAAAGGCAGTATGTTGGCAAATATGAATGGTTTTTAATGAAGTTGTCAGGCTGGACAAGGGACATGTACAAAACAAGCCCTTGAAACCTGGAGTGGGAACGTCACAGGGTCAGTCTGAAGTTGCAGTGACACAGAAATGATCCAAGGGCTTTGCTGGGAAGCCAGCAGTTAAAGCCCTGCACTCTTAGGGATTAAGACCTGGGCCAAAACTGGGCTTTATTCTGGAAAAGAATAACCACATCACTCAATCAGTTGTTTTTGCTGAAATAGTGTGGAGTTAAACCCAACATATATGTATCTCAAACTCATGCCCTGGGGAAATTAATCATGCATAGTTTCAAAATATATAGGACTCTGAAAAGACACAGTGAATGAATCTTATATACTGGAAGAATAAATATGTCAAGTGATGCTGATTAGATTTCTGTGATTCCCAAATGAAGGCTGAAGTCATTAAAAATGTAAAAGAAAAGAAGACACACAAAACTCGGAAATCTGTGTGCTCCCCAGCAAGAAAATTTCCCACACCATGATTCTGGAAGCAAATTATCTGCTTTGAGTGCCGGGGCAGACTCTTGGAAAGACACCTAATGTGTGGCTGAATAGTCCAGGGGCTCCTCAGTCCACTGCTTGCCACTCTCAGGGCTGGTTCTGGGCTCTGGAAGATGACAGATGGCGACTTCCGTTAGTCCAAGTAGCAAGATGGCCTTTAGGTCACAACGAAAGAGATGGAGTTCTAGCTTTATGCTGTGCATTTGAACTCAGGCTGGCTTTATATTATCTGTGGCTTTTGAATACAGTTGTGTCCCTATTAAATCAACCTGTGTCCTGTGTCCCTATTAAATCAAACTATTTGAAGGGAAGCCTGAATAAAACTGAATTTGGGAGTGCAGGAATGCTGTGGGGAATAGGCTCTATATGCCAAAGGGAGTCCCACGTGGGTGGTGGGGAAAGACTTGCAGGCACTTGCTGGGCTGTGGATCCCCTACCTGGGGTTCAGAGTTTTCACTGGCCATAAGGGCTTGTGTCTGTTTATCAGCAACCTCAAGTTCTGCAAAATTCTTGCCAGAATCTGTTATATGCTGAACACAGATAATGTTTTACTATTATCAACTTTACTGTATCAATTGTACATCATGAGACAGAAAGTTCGAAAGTTGAGCATTTGAAAACTCAAAAAGACTTGAGTTGGTCTAGGGAGGGAGTCCCTGGATAGGGAATCTGGAATAACCATTCTGTCATCTCTAAGACATGCCTGGAGGTGACAGTGTGTGTCATGCAGGGCTGCTGTGAGGGAAAAGGAGAAGTTGCAGAAGGTGCTTAGCAAGGTCCCCAGCGTGTCGTGAACGCTCAGTGGCAGGTAATACTTTAACTGCGATCTGCAAACCTCTTGAGGTCAGGATTGATAAAGGGAAGCGGCCTTATTCTAAATTAACACAATGCAAGACTAGTTTGCATTTGGGGAGTGTTTCGTGGGGGCTGTTTTGCCTTCTTTGTACCCTTTAGCAGGTCTAATGTCTTCTACAGCGGATGATTTTGGGGTGGGATAGTCAGGTCTAGCTGAAAAAATGCTTGTGTGTACTTGCCTCAGGAGCTCTGTGGCCTAGTGATCTCCCTACATAACAGCTGAGTGACCTGGGATGAGGTACTTAATTTCTACATATCAAGGTTTTCTAACTCTAAAATGGGGTAATAGGAGGGGAACAAAAAAGGAGAATAGAATAGAATAGGACGGAGTAAGAGCAAAACTTATACCTCATTGAGTTGCTGCGATTTGGACAGCTCCTGGTACATAACGTGTTCAACACATGTCAGATATTATATTATTGTTATAAGTTATAAAGGTATTTTAAGTTGTAATGATAGTGAATGTGGGGACATACACCACTTCCAAAGTCAGTGTGAAACTTACGAAATGTGAAATCCAGACTGAGATTCAGGGTCTTGAAGGCCGTGTTCAGGTTTCACACCTGAGTGGTCCTGGAATGACCAGCAGCGGCCACTGAAATCATTTGCAGAAGTCCTAGTGGAAGGAAGTGAGATCTGCCACCGCGGGGGGCACATCTGCTTCCCAGGCAGCCTGTTGCCGATGTGTGGCAACTGTGTCAGATGCTAAAATGCTCTTGGCCTGCCAGCTTAGAAAGTATGTGGCTCTTGACAGCCTTTTAAAATTTAGGGTGATTTGCATTATTTTAAATTCTGTGCATAAAATTAGACTTTTGAAAATATCCACTTAAAATTTGCATAAATTTTTGTAATATGCGAACACACTGATTTTAACTTTTTTTTACAAAGCCCAGCGTGATTTATGTCACATCAGATACTCACTAAAAAGTTGTTAATAAATTAAAGAACATAAGCTGATAATGAAGGCATGTACTCTTCCCGGAAACCATTCTCATCGAATGAGAAGGATCAGATTCTTCTCTCTTGGGGCACTTTGGGTAAATGGAGACTTCCAGATTTGATAAGGATGTTTGCCATAATAACAGGGCAGAAGGATCATTTGTGTACTTCATCCACCACAGCAGGCATCACAGCCCTGTTTCCACCTAACACAGCTGAGGGACATGAGATGCTTCCCAGTTGCATGACCTCACTGCCGTCATGACTCCTACCCAGCTCCCCTAAAAGTCAGCCAAGGAAATTCAGCCTGCAAAAGCAGCCTTCCTACTGGAGGTTTTAACATTCTAATTAATCAAAATGTCCTCTGCACCAGAAAATGAAATGTATATGTAATACTGCCTTTGCCTCTAACACCAGTGTGACAATAAATAAAGGTATCCTTACGTGTAGGATGCCTTCTCCTTCCAGAAAATGGAGTACATAAAACTTGTAACTTCAGTGGTTTGTCATTGAGGGGTTTGGTTGAAAGAATTGTTTTGCTACCATTTTTCTTGCTGTGGGTAGTGTTTCTTTTGGATTTTATGGCCTTCAA